GGGAGTTTGGTCGGACTCTACAGGTGCACGCGGACGACGCCGGCACACGATTCAGTATAGGAACAATTTATAGATTAAGTTTCCTGAATACATATTTGAACGAACACTATTTGCGGTGATGATGAACAAATCCCCGAGTGTATATCGAAGTTTCCTGGGTAATGGTTTTAAACGATGTCTACCGGGGGAAAGTACATGAAATTCGTATCATATTTGGTTAGACACGAAATCTGATATGATCATTGTGATCACATATGTTTATCAATTTAAAAAAAATATATCGTCGATGTGACAATTAGTTTTAAATAATTATCGCTATTTAATGTATCTAGTACTTCACAGTATTTGTAAAACACCTTGGGGACGGCTGTCCGCCTCAGTGGACAAACATACTCTGTGAGGCACAGGCTATTTTATAAACAATGACTCAGTTTGCATCGAAAAAATGAATAAATTACATATAGCAGTGATAAACAGTATTGTATTTTGAAAATAATTTTAATCATAAATTTAAATAATAAATTAGTAGTATTTTTAGCCTTTTTTTGCTATGTGGTCTTTTTTTTTAATATTTAAAACGACCGGGCGCTCTTAAATATAGCAAAACGACTGGTAAATTTTGTGAATTAAGCAGTGGTGAAGATGAGTTTCAAATAGACATTCATACAAACAAATTTTACGAAATTACTATTCGCACCGAAGATAGTGATGAATGTGATGATGATATTATCCAACCAACAAAAGGAGAAGAAGTTGAACAAATTAAATGAAGAGCGGAAAGACATTAGCGAAAGTGCCGATTCTCTTTCAATAATCGAGTTTGACATACATCAACAAACACCCCGACAACAAATACCAAGCAATATAAGACATCCAATAGATAATTTTACTTTATATTTTACAAATGAATTATTAGACATCAGTTTTATTAGAAAAAACAAACCATTATGGCAACACAAAAATGAACAAATATACTGACTAATCAGTGGCATATTCTAAATGCGAGAGAAAGAAAAAGGGATTGTATTGTCTGCTCTAACAGAAAAGCACTAGGAGGAAGGCGGCGAACAACATTTCACTGTAAAACATGTCAAAATCATCCAGCTATGCATTTTGGAAATTGTTTTGAACGTCACTATTCTTTATAAAATGATCAAGAATAAATTAATATTATAAATGTATGTCCTTCAATGACCACAAATTTTTATCAAACAAATTGCATAACATGCACAATAAAATCAAGTTTACAGCCGGTACAGTAGATTGTTTTGAAATCGGTGCCGTCCCGCAAATGTTAATATTTAGCATAGAAGAGGCAAAGAACTGATGACATATTATTATTTATTGATATAATAAAATTATGTATATAAATAAAATCAAAACAATATATTCATATGATCAGGAATGACTTTCAAAATGTCAGCATTCAGCAATGTCTAGTTAAAATATAAAAAAAAATTGCGGAGAAGACACTAAGCCTGAGATTTCAGTTATATACTTACACATATACAGTTGTGTTTGAAAATAAATTACACAACCCAACAATACCAGAGCTTTACAATAAATTATCTTAGCAAATATCATTAATAATGATATAAACAAAAAATAGATGATATAGTTCTAGTATAAAAACGTAGTAAAAGAAACATATTAATTCCAAATCTAAATACAAATATAATTTTCGTCTTAATTTTATTATGCTAAAAATTTGAATAATTTCTATCAAAGTTTAATAAATCTTTTTTTATTAAGAACATTTGTACAACATAAGCGATATTTATCCGTTAATTAATGCGAATAAGTAAGGAAACGCGAACTAAAAACCATCGATGCGATTATGGAGAGTTGCTCTGAAAGTAGTACTGTTTATCCATCGCTGTATTTATTACAAGAACTTCTACATATTTAATTTTAAGATATCAAGTGGAATTACAGGACCAAATCGAACTTATTGGAAATTATTTTTAACCAATAATAAACCAAAACAAAGTAACTATCCAAAAATGACTAATATCACAAATAGAACGCTCTAAAGGAATTTAGAAGATAATTGTGATAGCTACATATCGAAAATGATGTTTTTGTTACATGCATTTACTAGATATAAATATTAAATTTACTGAAAATATAAATTATTTTTGAACAATAATAAATACATTGCCTAATAATACATGATCATCGAAAATAACTGCATTATTTTCCAAAAGGTATGTCCTGATGGCTAATTAGAAAGATACCTGGCAGAGTCAAATATTGACGATTTTGAGAATTTAGATCTAAAATATGATAAGTGGAAACACCCTTTCGGGGTGTATTGCTGAAATATATTAAACATAAGTATTTAATAAAAATCTAGATATATTAATAAATAATGGCAAACCATTGGGTTGCATTTTAATATCACATCTTATAGAACGTATATTGTTTTGATTGAGTTCAAACAAGAAAAACTGAAATTAAACATTTTTCACAGTAATCACAAAAGTCCCTTTGAAGAGTCTATGAGTAATAAATAAAAACAAGATGAAATTATAAATTAGCAGTAGCAATCGCAATGCAATCAATAACACAAAATAAATTTAGTAGTACAACTAATAAAATTATTTTAATATCTCTAAAGTGGTCAAGAGTAGAACTACATGTACTAGTAGTGGACAAGATCTATACTTTCCTCCATAATTTGATAAGTAGCGGTCAATATCTATATACTTTTTCCCAAAATTCGCATGAGTAGAACTTCATAGACCAGTGGTGATCAATATAATACTTATGTTCAAAATTCTCAAAAGCGGAAACTATATGAATCAGTGGTGGTCAATATCTAAGCACTTCTCCAGAATTTTTAAGAGTAGACCTAAATGAACTGGTGTTGGTCAATATCTAAACATCTCTCCAGAATTTATAAAGGTGGATCTTCATGGTCTAGGGATGATCAATCTCAAGAGTGGAACTTAATGAATTAGCAGTAGTGAATATCTAAACATCTCTCCAATATTCTCAAGAGTAGATCTTAATGAACCAGTGGTGGCCAATATCTATACTTCACTTGATAATTATCAAGAATTGATCTTTAGTGGTCTACACTGGAAGCCAATATCTATACTTGTTTTCAAAATTCTGAAGAGTGAATCTTTATGGACCAGTGGTGATTAATATCGAAACTAGCGGAAGTTATTATCTATAAGTTTTTTCAAAACTGACAAGAGTGAATCTTTATGCGCAAGGGTAGTTAATATCTATAATACTTATCTGCAAAAACTCTCAAGAGTGGATCTCTATAGATCAGCGGTAGTCAATATCCGTACTTCTTTCCAAAATTATCGAAAGTTGATTTTCATGGACCAGTGGTGATCCATATCTGAACTTCTCCCAAAAATGATCAAGACTCGAGTTTACCGACTAGTAAGGGTGATTATCCTTATTGGTCATTTACAAATGCGGCCCTGGGGTGATCAACAGATCCATGTGTGGCGTTCGGCGAAGGGAGCACACGTACGGCGAAGATATCGGATGTGGAGCATTTACCGACCGTAACGAGACACCTCACAAGCTCGTACAAATGAAATCACTTTCTACTCGCGATAAACATCTCTTTCCTAACAAACGAAATAACGAACGCTTTTCAAAAGACTTCAAAGATCCATTTTCGAATTGTTTCGCATTCGAAGAACCATTGTTGTTGATATCATCAACGGATTTTCTATTTGAGAAATTAATGCTAGGCTAATTCGTATACAAAGTGGAGAAGAATTAGCAACTAGAAGAAGAAGATTAAGTAATGTAAAGATGATGGTGAACTGACTGTGAAACTAGAATTGGTATTTTCATACAAAGATCTGTATATGCAAAATAAACTAATTAACATATCTCAATAACTATAATAATTAATATATCCCATGACATCGTGCCTTAAGGCAAATTGCTGGAACTTTCCGTAGCGTTTAACATTATTTTTTTGAAAATTTTGAAAAAAAAATATTTAGAAAAAAATTGTAAAAGAAGAAGGAATTGTGAAAAGAAAATTTACAATTTTTTTCTAAGCGATTGCGCTTCTTGTCAATACAAATCTAATATTTTTCGAATCATTCAATTGTTGAACTGTGCTCTCGAAATCGCGAACGAAAAATTGTATCCAAACATACAGCTATGCATTCTACATACAGGATACAGGCACACACACACCAAATATATCAGAAAAGGGCGAATGGGACTTCGCTCAATTAAAAGCTAAGTATAAAGTCAAGGTAAGAATTGTAATATTCTAGATCCTCCCCCCATGAAGTAATGTCTAACGGCGGTTTCCGTGAGGACCAGAGGCAAGGGCAAAGCGGAGGTTTTAGTCGGTAATGAATCCGACATACCCTGACAAAAGACCAGTCTAGGATGCATAAAGGCATTTTCTTCGCTATATAGAAAAAACACGAAATATGTCAATTTTTCTAGCAATAAGTTATGGCAAAATGTTCAGAAAGCCTTGAAACGTGAAGACTCATCAATTCATTCATTTTATTTTTTTCGCGATTACTAAAACTTACCCTACAGAAAGTTAAAAACAAATAAATAAAATATCTTCGATAAGAAAAGCAAAATTGCAACATTTAAATTTTTCATACTTTTACAAGACTCAATTTAAGTAACCCTTGCTTTGGGAAAGGATGGCTTCTCGAACAAGTTTCTTATGTGATTCTAATAAGAATTCCAAAATTTGAATATAAATAATATTGATTTTGAATCAACAATGGCATTATTTGTAGTTTTCAAAAACATTTCATAAAACATATTTCTGATTTGCCTAATAAAAAGAAACATTTTAAAATTATATAAACTTTGGAAGATTTTTGGAAAATTATATAACTTTTATTGGAAGATTGTAATATGTACGAAGCATTCATGATTATGAGAATCATAATTATGATGGTTTAAATTTTTCCTTATAAATTTGTTTACAGTATATAGGATGTGATTATTTAATTAAAACATTATTATTTTGTTAATCTTACCTCGAAAAACAAAAAATATCCAAACGAAGAGCAGTTGCATCCAACTGCATTTGTGTATAAGATATTTTAGGTCCATTTTCTTTTCTATATTGGTTTCGAGACCTGCGACGCGACATCTAAAAAAATAATAAAACAATTAGTAAAATTATAATTAAAAGTAATAAAATTATATTTAATAGTTAAATAAAACTTTGGGATATAGAAAATAAAATAAAATAAAATAAAATACGAAGTATACATTGTTAAAATCATGTCATATGCTATTCGTTAAGCATTTCAAAGTACTCCTATTTTTAACAAATATCTTATTGTACTTTTTTATGCGAGTTCAAATTAATTTTAATCAAATAATTAGCTTTATAATTATATCAACCAGATTTTTAAAATTAAATAGGACTAGGATTAATTAAATAAGACTTACAGGACTTATTTTAAATAATTTTCTATCAAAGTTTAACTGATGGCTTTTTATTTTTATGTGTCATAGCATGGCATAGTTCACACTCCAAAATATTATTTTTGGAAAATAATATGAAAAGAAATTATAATTTCGCCATCAGCTAAAACTTTGACAGAAAATTATTTAAAATAAATCGGATTTTCTAAAAAAATTACTTACCATTTGCAAATATAAGTTGAGTTATCCATCAATCCATTTATATATAATTATTGTCACCATAATGTATATTATTTTAAACACGACACTTCCCATAAATTTGCACCGAACCACACATTACTATTAAAAACTACTGAAAACACAATATTTATTTTGCGTAAAAAATTAAAACAGTACTTATTTCAAAATATTTCCTATCCTCTGATAACAATTTAAATAATATCTTACCAAAACACGTCTAGTTATTTTATTAAATTCATAACCAAAGCACTTCAACCGAATACGATTCGCACCGGCTGACGGTTGAAACAAAACTGGCGTCGCGTAACGAAAACAATTTTTACCACGCTTTGTTGTTTGGCAATGGAAGGGCATTGCCTGGATAATGTTTTGAAAATTGGCAATATGATTTTTTAAAAAAATATACTTCAGCATACTTCATTTCTATAATATTTTTACAATATTTCCCCATACACCGATTATGATAATATGTCGTTATATAATATTTATTTATTATTAAACACTGATATTGAAGATTTCAGTTCCTAAGTTGCAATATTTAAGTACATACTCGAAATATTGCACAAATTGTAATTTATGACTTGCAGTTACTTGAAATAAAATAATCTATTATAGTTATAAAAAGGACTTTCTCTTGAAAACTTGCTTAATAAACTTCACGGTTTGTTGGGCGCACACACATATGCCGGATTGTATTTCTTTTAATTTTTGTAACTGTGTACACAAAAATTATGCGTCACATTCGCACTTTAATTAATTATTTTAAGTATAGTATATTAACTTAATAGTTTAATTGATTTAAAATCGTTTACTATAGTCATAACAATCATTCAATCAGAGTATATTGCACACAATAAGTATTTTTATGTTTATTTTTGTGCTTTTTTATTTAATTTGTTTAATTTTTAATTATATCATGTAACTCCTGGCTTTATTTCTTTGAGACAGTACTTATACATTGTCAAAATAATTAAAATTCAAAAGAGCTAACTTCAAAAACCTGAAAGATTGCTTAGAATTATAGATTTGTATAATTTATTACATAAAGTAAAAAAATAACATTTATTTTAAAAAACTGATCATACAAAACATTAACATGTCATTTTTAAATTGGCTAAAACAGTTAAAAATAAATTACAAACTAAGTTAAAATTAGATGAATGTGATTTTTGTCCTTGTTTGATTAACTTGCCATACATTCAACTCTTCATATTCTTCAATGCAAGCATCAACCTGATCAGGTTTAAAACCTTTAGAAGAACATCTCTCCATTACATCAGCAATCTTTATTGTTTTATTCGAGCCTGCTAATTCTCTTGCAAGAGCAAATATTTTATCTGATGTGTTGGGAACTCTGCAATACAAAACAAAAATAAACTTTCCATAAGGAACTAAAAGCATAAGATGTAATTAATTATTACCTAGACATGGATTGTTCAACATTTTGATTGAGAGAATCTTTGGACATTTCCAAGAGACGAATAGCTTCAGCAACATCTTCCTTTTCAACAATGTCTGCCAATCTAAGACGGGCCAAAGCTGTTGACAAACGCAAAATACCAAGCAAGTTTCTTGCAGATGTAAATGTCATATCACGAGAATTTCTTGCTACACGCCTCAGTTCCACATAGGCTCCTTGAATAAAAACAGTATGATTAAATTTTGTATGTTAAAATTTAATGATTGAAGCCATAATATGAATAGGAGCATTACATACCCACAATGTAATCAGTCAAATCATTTGGAATTACAGGTTCCTTTCTCTTGCACAAGGCAATGTACCTTCTCATTAAGTTCATGTTTAAGCTACGTACTCTTGTAGGAGGTTGTTTACTGTGTGTGTGCACATAAGTAATATGTTTTGCCAAACGCAAATCATTGTCTCTGAAAATTGATTATTGATAATTTAGTATGAATTACTAATATTTTTCTATATTGTTCACTAAGATATTAACCTGTCAGGTTTATCCTGAATAAGCCATAACAAATCAAATCTACTTAGCAAAGCTGCTGGGAGTTGTATATTTTGTTCAATAGTACGACGAGGATTGTACCTGCCATAAGCAGGATTAGCTGCAGCTAAGATTGAGACCCTAGCATTTAAACTTGTCATAATTCCAGCCTATAAAAGTAATGATTTCTAGTTATGTAAAATTGATATATTTTCAGTTTATATTGTGATAAAATACCTTAGCAATAGAAATGGTTTGCTGTTCCATAACTTCATGGATAGCAGTACGGTCGTTCTCAGCCATTTTATCAAATTCATCAATACAACAAACTCCTTGATCAGCTAGAACTAATGCACCACCTTCCAATGTCATTTCACCAGTAAGAGGATCTTTCATAATAGCTGCAGTTAAACCAACACCACTGCTACCACGACCAGTTGTGTATTGACCTAAACAATTGTATTTTAAGATCAAAGATAAGTATTTTACAAAGTAATTATCCATTGTGCAAAGATTAAACAAATCTATGTAAGGATGAATAATAATACATACTTCTTGGAGCCAATCTATCAATGTAGCTCAACAATTGAGATTTGGCTACACCAGGGTCACCCATCAAACATATATTAATATTGCCTCGAATTTTCATACCATCTGGCCTCTTATCAACCCCTCCAACCAATAATAAAAGCAAAGCCTTTTTAACATCCTCATGACCATAAATTTCTGGAGCCAAACTGCAAGCAAGGCGAGAATAAAAATCTTCCTCTGATAATTCAGCTAACTCCTCTTCAGTTAATTCTGGTGATTCTTCACCTTCTGGAGTACGATCAAAACATACGACTTTCTGAATGATGAAATTAGCATAAATTAAATTCTAGAATATATTTGGGATAAATGGGATTTGCATTAATTTTTACATGAGCTTCCAGGTATGTTTCACTTAACAATCCAACAGACATTTGCCTAAATCCAGTTCTTAGCAAGGGAAGAAATACACCAGTGATCATAACATGATCTCCAGGTTGAGCCATACGAGTTACCTCTCCTCTGCAGAAAACAGTTAAAGTTCGAGGTATGTGACCAACTGGCACTTGGTCACTCTGAAAGTCAAATTGAAATTTTATACATAATTATTTACGTTTTATCATATTAAACTATATGATAAGAAGAGAAATAAACATACATGCTCTTGTATTTTGAGCTCCTGAAATTTAATGAATTTAGAACCTCTAGTTTGCAAATAAAGACGCCCTCCAGCTTTATTAACACGACAGTCATCAGAAGGGCATTCAGTAGCAGGCATGAAAGTTAGGGAAGTAACTGGCTGATATGTTTCAGAACCACATTGATCGCATGTGTAAGTAGCAACAACCATCATTGGCTTCACCTCTGTGCAGCGCGTAACAATGCCTGCCAACAAATTATTGAATTTATACATCTAATTTGAAATATGTAGCACAAGGGAAATGATAAACAATATTTACCTCTTACAGTCACAAGCTTTCCTATGTTCTCAGCTTTAATTTCTCTGATTGGTACAGATTTGTTTGAGCTCAAATCCTTAAAATATATTTCACTAAAAAGAATAATAATGTTATCACAAGAACTTTAAATAAATAGGTAAAGCTCACTTACTATCGCCTCATCAATTCTGGAGGGTATTTATTACGTGGGTCCCGCTGATCATGAGGCTGTCTTGTTCTAGATTCCATCAACAAGCGATGCTCAATATATACATCCAAACTATCTTTAGCAACAACTTCCTTTTCTTTAAAACTAGGCAATAACTCAAACACAACATCAGAAAATAAATTAATATATCTCCTGGTGTTAGCAATAATTGCTTCAGCCAAGGATTCTTTAAAGTCCATAACATCATCAAGCTCTATGAACAATCCAACTTGTTCTCTATGTGCAATTTTTGTTAATTGTGAAGAATACACGAAAATCTTTTTTCCATCATTATCAGTCTTACAAAACTCAGTCAAAAAAGTTTTGATAGATTCTATAAAAATAATAAGAAATAAGTTTACAAAAACATGAATAAAACCAATAAAGAATTAGGTGTAAAGTATTACCTCGATCAGTTCCATAATCGCGTCCGCCCATTGTATTACTTATTAAAAATTTAAAATAAGTACTTAATTGTATTAACTGTACAACAAACACAGTAAATGTAAAAACAAGCCTTTGAAGCTTTGATGAAAATGCATTCAACAACGGTCCTAGACAATATGTAATGACAACGGTTGTGGAGAAAATTGTCAGTTTTTGGCGCCAATAATAAAATGTGAAGTTAGCTACATTACTTCCTAGTTCAATATTTACAGGTGGCGTTACTTGAGCTATTTGTGACAACTAGATTGTCAAATTTGACAGACAATCATGGATAACATGGAGTAAAATAATTAATTTACATTATAAAATAAGTTAATATGTAACTCATCACAAAAATAGCATTTAATAAATTACAATGGCCCACCTAAACAAGAGTTTGAAACCAATAAATTACTCCAACACGTCATTCAGACACTTTTTTCTTGTATTATTTTTTGTATTGGTTTTTGCCCTGAGTATTGCTTTATTAGTTTTATTTCCATATAGTGGAAAAAGACATGAAATCTATAAGGATATAAGTTTGGAAGATGTCATCAACGTTCCAGAACAAATAATTCATGATCAAGCTCCCTCAGCGAATCCTCGCAATCCAAAATGCAGCCACTGGGATTGTTTTAATGTGTATCGCTGTGGCAATAAAGGGCACAATCAAATATCTATTTATATTTATCCAATTAAAAAATATCTTGATGCTGATGATATACCTGCCACTGGTATCATGTCCAAAGAATTTTATTTTATTTTAAAAACTATAAAAGATAGCAAATATTACACATCAAATCCTGATGAGGCTTGCATATTTGTTCCAAGTATTGATACTTTAAACCAAAACAGATTTCGGCCCAAAATAACATCTCAAGCTTTGAATATTTTATCACAGTAAGTTACTTGCCTAAAACTTGCATATTTAAATTTATCTGTAACTGTGCATATCACATATCCACAATACAGAAAATTTAAGATGTTAAATCTCAGATAATACACATATGAAGGATTAAATGTTTTAATTGTCTATTGTTAAAATATATTTTACATGATTCCAAAACTCTATTAAATTAATTATGTTTTAGCTGGAACGATGGTGAAAACCATTTAATATTCAACATGGTTCCAGGATCTAGTCCTGAGTATAACACAGTATTAGACTTACCAATTGGTAAAGCCTTAGTTGCAGGTGCAGGTTTTGATACTTGGGCATACAGATCTGGCTTTGATATATCTCTGCCAGTGTACAGCATATTAGCTGCAGAATATATTGATAACTATGATAAAAATATTGAACGGTAAAATATGATTTATGATCCACTGATAAAATTTAGTTTGATTGCCATAATTTGTTCACAGAAAACACTTATTAATTTCATCTCAACTTCATCTTGGTTCTTCCTTAATGTTAGATCTTGGAACAATAGCATCTGAACACAATGATTTTCTACTATTGCAGCCTTGCAATAATCATCACAACCACACAGTTCGATGTGATTTACAGGGAATTAACATGTAAGTAGAACCATATCATTAAAAAGTTTATGTTAAAGAATATGCAATATTTGGCTTTTAAAAGGTTGGATTATCCTAAAGTACTTCAAAGTGGAGTATTTTGCTTGGTTCATAGAGCAGCAAGATTAGCTCAACAAGTTCTACTGGAAGCAATGGCTGCTGGATGTATTCCAGTTGTTGTTGCTGATGGTCTTATCATGCCATTTCAGCAGGTAGAATAATGAAATAATAAATTTAGTTAATTATAAGAAAAGTAAATTCATTATAGTAACTAATGCCTTGATAACATTTTTAAAATTAAGGTGATAGACTGGAAAAGAGCAGCAATATTTATACAAGAAGAAAATATTTTAAGTGTTATAGAAGTTTTAAAAGCTATTTCAGATGAGGCCATTATAGAGAAACGCGAACAGGTTAAATTAAACAACATTTTTATAAGCAACAAATGCATCAATATTTGTTACCTTGTTATTCATTTTTGGTTACAGGTATTATGGTTATACAAAAAATATTTCTCATCTATTGAAGCAATGACCAACACTGTGTTGGACATTATTAATGATAGAGTATTTCCCCAATTTGCTAAAAATTATCGCCAATGGAATTTGCCACCCAACCCGGTTTGTGCAGTTAATTTAATCATTTTTTTTATCCAACTTGTTATGTTATTTAAAATTTGTTATAGAAAGCAGCATACACACCTCTCTTTTTACCCATCACTGCCCCAAAGTCTCAGGGTTTTACTGCAGTTGTTTTAACTTATGATCGCATTGAGTCATTATTTGCCTTGCTTGAGAGATTGGTATTGACACCATCACTACAAAAAGTATTGGTGATTTGGAATAATCAGAAAAAATCACCTCCACCATGTGAGAATGGATATATGAAATTGTTATCAAAGAAATGTTAATATACTAATCTTAATTTTAGTATCAGCTTGGCCTAAAATAAACAAACCATTTAAAGTAATCCAGACCAAAGCAAATAAGCTTTCTAATAGATTTTATCCCTATAATGAGATAGAAACTGAAGCTATTTTAACAATTGATGATGATATAATAATGTTGACTGCTGATGAATTAGAATTTGGGTAATGTAATTTAAAATAATAACTTTATAATTTTCTATATACCAAAATTATATTTATAATTAAAATTAGCACAGTTTTCCTAATTGTGCAGTTGTATTAAACTTTTAAATTTTCTGGTCAGATTTGAGGTATGGCGTGAATTTCCTGATAGAATAGTTGGATACCCCAGTCGCATGCACGTATGGGATAATGTGACTAATCATTGGAAATATGAATCTGAATGGACAAATGAAGTATCAATGGTTTTAACTGGAGCAGCTTTTCATCATAAAGTATGGGTTTTTGAATAAAAATTAATTTATTTTTCAAATAATTTATTTAAACTTGTATTTGTATTATATATAATTAGTATTGGAGCTATATGTATACAACTGCTATGCCTGGAAATATTAAGGAATGGGTTGATGATCATATGAATTGTGAAGATATAGCAATGAATTTTCTGGTCGCTAATATCACAAATAAGGCTCCTATAAAGGTAAACCTTGCTTAAAAAAAAACTAAATAAATTTTAACTTACTCAAGGTAAACTAAAAATATTTTATTACCTTTGTAACAAATTTTGGGATTTTAATATTCAATATTCATGATTTCTTAATTTTTTCAAATCAGATTTTAAATTAAATGTTCAATTAACATTTTAGGTGGCTCCTAGAAAGAAATTCAAGTGCCCAGAGTGCACGAATACTGAAATGCTTTCTGCAGATCTGAATCATATGATTGAAAGATCAAATTGTATTCATAGATTTAGTGAATTGTACGGAACAATGCCTCTAAAAGCTGTCGAATTTCGTGCTGATCCAGTATTATACAAAGATCCATTCCCAGAGAAACTCAAACGATTCAATCAAATTGGAAGTTTATAAAATAATTTATATAATTCATATATATCACACATTGTGTGCATATGAAAGATAAACAAATTTATATCATAAGTTACAAGAATATTAAAATATTACTATGATTAAGATATCTTTTGTTATAAATAAAAATTAAATAATATTATAAATTGACTGCCATATTATATAATAAATATGATAAAATATATTAAAATTGATTGATTTATTCTAATAATTTTTTACTACGAGTACTTTTCTAATGTAAATAAATGGTATAAGGTCTCACTCATTGCTGGTCCAATTTTTCTATTTAATGGTCCACATTGTATATTTGTGAGCAAATCTTTATTTATAGTACTCGAAGATGCATTAAAAGCTTCATAGAGATCCTGTGGTGTTGGATGTTTTGCAACTATAGCTAATGCTTTATCCATAGAAATTCCCTTGATTCGCATTAAGTGTTTAACAAACATATTTTGTACAGTATATTTTCTTGTCTTTTTTGATGAATTTTGAAATTCAGTAAAATCCATCAAAGCTATTATAGAGTCATTAAAATCAAACTTCTTTAAGTTTTCTTTAGGACAGCTAACAAGAGTTTTATTCTGTAAATAATAAAATTAAATAAATTTGTCAAAGAAAATTAATTTATATTGTATTTGTGCTATTTATCATGCTTTTCTTAAAAATGGCTCATCAATTAATAAATTTTATACTTACAGATATATTTTCCATTAACATGCGAGTTAATACTGCTAAATACATCATAGAATCTCGATGTGTGTTAGTAAATTTTAATATAAAATCATCTTGAATAGAAGTATTGCATGCTGCTTGAAATAAAGATGCAATTGGAAGACCTGTATGAATAAATTAAATCAAAATAATTAAGTGATGCTAATATAAACTCAAAAATATAAGTAGTTCACTTATTAATAGAAAATGATTTAGAAAAAATAGTGAAAAGTGAAACTGATTATCAAATGCAATAGCTAAGAGAATTATTATGACAAGATACAATGTAGAGTCAACCTGTATGCTCATTACGCCCATAGCTTTCTATTAAATACAATAGATTTTGAATTCCACATTGTTTCAATCGAAATTTTTGTTCTTTAAATCTTCCATCTCTAATACTGCTCCCAAAATCATCCATTCTTTTTCTTTCAACTATATATGGAAGCAATAATTCTCTCTTTGAATCGTCTCGGCAAATCCATGCAAAATCTCCAACATTTAAGCGGCGTATTTCATATTGAACTTTTATTTCTGTCAGTACTTGTATCGTTTCATCATAAGCTCTTTTTGCCATCCTTAAAAAAATATGAAATATTAATATTGCTTAAACCATCATATTTCTTATATTGTGTAATGTTTACCCTGATGTTTCTTGCGTGTCAACTAATAAAATAATTTCAAAGGAATTTGGTGGAAAAATTACTGCTTCAATTTCTGTTGTTTTAGAAGCATTTCTCTTATTCTTTTGTGATAATTTTTCCTTTTGACTAGTAGAAACTTGCTGACCAATATTATCTTCAAAATCACCTTCTTGATTTGTCTCAACATACTTTTTCAATAACTCTTCTGCTACTGCAATTCCGTCTTCTGTTATACTAAATTTTGCAGGCCTGCCTGTTTTTTGTACTAAACTTTTTGTGATTAATGTTGACATTGAAGACCATGCAGTATATCGTATCGATTTATCAGAAGGAACAAAAACTTTATCACAATAAGGCTGAGCTTTAGTTTGTAATTCATCTTTGCTCACAGAAAACTTATTTCCATGGTGTAACTTTATTAAAGCAATTAACAGAGCGTATGGGCCTGAACGATAAGCAGGTGAATATAATTTACTAGTTTTTGAATTACCCCTTTTTTGTGCTTCAGGTTTTTTGTTATTATCAATTGCATCAAGTATAGAATTGATATTATTACTAAGCTTGTTTTGATTCCCTTTTTCTTCATAAATATTATTATCATTATTAATTATTTGATTAGAGTTTGTATTACAAATAAAATCAACTTCACTAGGTTCAGGAGATGTGTCTATGTGCATTATACCATCTGTTTCCCAATATTTGGATAACACATCTCTCGATTTAGATTGTATATTGGAATATGATTTTGTACCAGCACTTTTTGTATTTGCTGATGTATCTTCATATTCTGTCACCTTAGCACCTAACATGTCATTAGCATTTTTAATAACTTTAGATTGTTTTCTATCATTTAAATTATAAGAAGTTAATTGATCATCTGATATATCGTCAGAAGGAGGAGAAGGATCAATGATACATACTTCATCATGATCCATGATTTTAGATATCTTTGAAGCAGCTCTTGTATTGGGAGATTTTCTTTTCATATTACACACCTTAGAACCAATTTTATATTTATTCAAAATATCATTAGAATTAGGAAAATTTTCGATACTATAAGCATCATCATTGTTTGAAAACTTTGGAGAAGTTTCAGGTAGTCGTGGACATTCTGAGTTTGAAGAATCATCAATATCAAATACATTATCAATATCAATTTGCTTAGAAAAAATAGTTTTGCCATTGAATCTTTTACTTGGTTCTTTATAATGCTCCAAAAAATCATTACTTTTATCATTGTTAATATATTTATTACCAACTTTTGCATTTGTTAGAGCAATATCTTCAGAAGTATATAATTTTATTTTCCTAGAATTATGAGCAGGTGAAATGTTCGCAGTATTAAATTTATCCAACTCATCATCAGATTCAGAAACAACATCTATGTTATGCACTCTGTTCTTTTCCAAATTTTCCAATAATTCATCTTTGTCTGCACTCATTTCAGTCAATTTTTTTCCACCAGAACTTTTTTGAGAATTATCACATTGTGAGTTATTTTTTTTATTTTTACCTAGATCATCAATATTTAGATTAGAGCAAACAGAACTATTTCCATTGAATTTAATAGGCTTCTTATGTGAACGAGAGTAAATATCATCAGAATCAGAAGAGGTATCAATATTATAAACTTTATGATTACCCAAATCATCTGAAGATAATTCATGCAATTTAGGGTTCTCCTTGAAAGAACCGTTTTGAGAAATTTGTGATGCATTCAATTTTTTGTTACTATTATCAATACGCACATCAAGTTGTTCAGATATTTTTGCAAATTTTGCTTTAGTTCCTTGTGATAAACCAGGGGATGAATTTAAATTATAATTATCATCAGAATCAGAAGATATAGCAATTTCATGCACTTCATCATTTTCTTCAGGAATAATATTTTTATCTACCAGTTTTTTTTCTTGTGAAATATTTTTTTGAGATATTTTTGATGGCGAGTCAATTCTTTTTATATATCCTCCTGAATCACCATCTGATATTTCAGAGTCAGAAGAAGTACTTATTCGATGGAATTTATGCTCTATACTTAATTTTTTCTTTTTATCATATTCTTTGATAGTGTTCAAAGCTTTTCTAGGCGAAATTAGACTTAAAGGATTATCAATATTTTTATTACCTACATCAGTAGATAAAGTAGGAGAACTTTTAGTACCTTCAGGTTTTTTATTTGTTTTATTGCTATTAACTGTACCTTTTGCATTTTTAGGAGCTAGTAAATCATCCAAGTTTTTATATTTGTTTAATAAATCGTGTACATTTTTAGGAGAAGATATGTTATCACGTATTTCATAATTCTTTAATGTATCTATATTTCTATTCTGAGTGCTAGTGTGTGGTATATTATTTGAGCTCAGAAGATTTTGTATTTTATCATCTGATATATCGTGACATATTTCAGCCTCATATACTTTATCATTTTCAACATAATTAAAACTAATATTTTTGTTGCTTGCAAATTTGGTTTTCTTAGACAAATCTTTATTAAGACTAAAAGAGTTGTTGGAGTTAAGGCTACTAGGTAAATTATTGGTTCTTTTATATTCTTCAAGCTTATCATCTAGCATAGAACATAAAGTTTTACCAAAACCTCTTAAAATTATGCAATCTCTTCCTGATTCTAATGGTAGAGGAAATTTTTTCAAGGAGTCTAAAGCCTCTGCAAGAATGAATTTGCTTTTACTATTTTTTTTCTCCGCTTCATTTTTCAATTCTTCAACCCATTTGGTAAATAATGGATTTGGTTCTTTTAACCTATAATAAATTCTACGATATATTACCGAAGGTTCTTCCATAATGATTTAAAACTTTAGCATTAAAAATTTGGGATATAAATAAATTAAAATATATACAATAACAATATCACCGGTTAATCATTGCATACTTAGACTAAAACTATATTAAAATTCACTTTAAAATTATTTACATTGCACTTGTTTTTATTTTGTAAACTGACATAACCAAGATCACAGAAATGACAGTTCATAATGATGACAGTGACATCTATAACCGCTAAATTTGAAATTGCAGATTTTTGCATAAACAAATGTTTTACATTTGATAAAACTATAAAGGTTTATGCATTTAAAAAAATATTTATCCATTTAATATTTAAACTTATGCACATTCCTACTTTGTAATAATAATTTGATCTACCCCTTCTCTAAACTACAATCAGTTACTTATTTAATTTAGCATAAAATTTTGTTATATTAAACTCCTATATGCATATTTCATTGCCCTACAAATTTTACACTAAAAATTTGATACATTTTAGTGCAATAACATTCCAGATTTTCAGTATTTCTAATTCTACACCATTCATCAATTTATTCTCTTAGGCATACATCAATTTTATAATATTTTATAAAACTGTTATAAATACCAAAATTCCCTTTAAATGCATATCTAATTACTCTGCTGCATACTACAAATTTCACACAACAACTTCATTAGGGATTTAAAAAAATTGAGCTATCCTTTCACTAAATTGCTCTAGGGCAACCAATTTTATAATTTTATTTAAAACTTTATTATACCTAAACATATTTATTTACTTAAAAACATTTTCCAAATAATAAAATATATATATTTTATTATGTTTCAGTTCGTTTTTGTATCTAGTTCATTTCTTAATCCACTCTCATACGATTGTTATTTTAATGCATTCGAAAGCTTTTATTTTCTAAAATAATGATCTATTTAAATTTTTGTTTAATATTGTACCTAGATCAATACCTATTAGACAACATTAGAATATGATATCTTGATATTAATACAAACAATATTTGTTTAGATTGTTATATTTGATATAAAATAATATTACTTAATCGATTTAATATATGGTTAATATAAAAAATAATTAATCAATACATCAAATAAATTGTTAGAAATCATTAACATAAACAAATTAAATTTGCATGATTTTATAAATATATATACAAGTCCATTCATTTCATCTGTGATGCCTTATGTAATGTTAAAACTAAAAAATTATCTTAATTAGTAAACAGTCAACAGTAGTTACTAGTGATGTGCCGACTCGAAAATTTCCTGATTCGAGTGATTCGAATCAGAAAAAAACCTGATTCGAATCATGATTCGAATCAATTCGAATCAAGTTCATATATGAACAATTATAATTTAAGAGAAGAAATAATATCATTTTAATAATTTTATAAGTGAAATGATTAATTTAGTAAGCAATTAATTCCAAAAAGTGCAGAGATGAATACATTTATATTATATATATAATAATAAACTAGCTACAAATATAACTAATCTTTCAAGTGAATTTACAGTAAAATATAACCAAACACTTCTCTATCACTAAAGCATATAAAACAATATTCTTAATCTTACGTTGAACGAATGCATGTGTATATTATTGATTGTTTAGATCTAATCTAAACAGGGGGCTGAATCTAACGTCTTACGTATGACTTAAAATTCAATCCACTACTGTAAAGATTGATATTATTTCATTTGTGTGAATTTGCCATTACTTGCATAATTAAAATATAATAATTTTGTATGTGTATAAAACTCGTTGTGTAGTTTATTTTGATAATAATTAAAATCTAAATCGCGTATTTATTATCTAAATGAGTTTTTGATATTTCATGAACAAATTTGCTCTCAGAGCTTGGTCAAAAATAAACAAACACTCAAGACCCATACGCACTGCATCTCCATAAGTCGATACGCTAAAACACGGCCACATGTTTCGAACTCAAGCCGGAATGATTCAGTTTGAGTCATATGAACTCGGATAAATTCATATCGACTTGAAGTCGGGATGAGTCGGTTTGAGTCATAGGAACTCGAATCAATTCATAACGACTTGAAGTCGGGATAAGTCGGTTTGAGTCATAGGAACTCGAATCAATTCATAACGACTTGAAGTCGGGATAAGTCGGTTTGAGTCATAGGAACTCGAATCAATTCATAACGACTTGAAGTCGGGATAAGTCGGTTTGAGTCATAGGAACTCGGATGAATTCATATCGACTTGAATGCGGTTAAAGTCATATAAATTGGAGTCGGGTGATACATTTAAGCGTATTAAAGGCGGGTGACTCGCATGATTTAATTCAAGATTTATTTTTTATATTTATTATTATTATTTTTTATATTTATTATTATTATTTTTTATATTTATTATTATTATTTTTTATATTTATTATTATTATTATTTATATTATTATAATATTGAATTAAATTAAAACATTTTTTATATTTATGAAAATTTGTGTTCACACATGTTTTATCACAGTAAATATTTCGCGGCTTGATACGAGTTGATTCGAATCAAGTAAAATCTGATTCGAATCAAGTCGTTAAAGGCTTGATTCGAATGATTCGAATCACTTGATTCGACTTGGCACATCACTAGTAGTTACATTAAGTCAACATTTAGTATTACATTAAGCACTTAATACAATTTTTAAAAATATAGCTCAAGAAAAATACTCTTAATCTCTGACAATATACAGTTGCAGTAAACAAAATCTTGATATTTTCACTTGTTATAATAAAGATTGCTCTATCATTATTTTAGAGAAACCGGGGGCGGCGGCGTGTGGGTGAAATCATCCAGAATTATGTCTAAAATAGCCCCTTCATCAACTGGAAAAGGAAAATAATCAACTTTTTCAGGAACATTAAATTTCAAAAAAATATTAAATCAATTATTACCATACAAGACGGGATACACAGTACCCCTGACGTTATTAACGGGTATTTCGAGATCCTTTCCATTTAAATAAAAGTTAAGTGCTATGTGATCATAAGACACTCCTAAGGTGTCTCCTTCAGTGGGAGTTCTACTGGCTACGTCGGACGAAATAAGGTCTCCAGGGTCCTTTGACCCCAATAAGGGACCTGAAGAGAGTGGATCAGGATTGGCCGAGTCCGTTGGTAGACTGAGAAAATGGAAACAAAATTATAAATACAGAATAAAAACATTTTTCATATTATAGCATAGATTCTGGGACCCTAAGAAGCATAAATTATCTATAGAAGCAAAAAACTTGAATGGTGAAGTCTTAACTAGCTGTAAATGATTTACTAAAACCGTATGATACGGTTTCTCGCTTTAGAAGGCAGTTTTGGGCCGTTTTCTAAAAAAAATCCGAAATAAAGTGTCCGGGGTTCTTTGACCCCAATAAGGGACCTGAAGAGAGTAGATCAGGATTGGCCGTCCGTTGGTAGACTGAGAAAATGAAAACAAAATTATAAATACTGAATGAAAGCCTTTTCCAATTACGTAGCATAGATTTAGGGGCCCATAACGTGCATAAAGAAAGGTTAATGAAAAAATCTAAATTTTCTATAGAGGCAAAAACTTGAATAGTGAAGTCCTAATTAGCTATCAATGATTTACCAAATTCGCACCACATGGTTTCTCGCTGAAAACGCGCTTCTGGAGCGGTCCTTAAAAAATCGTCTTAACGGGGTTCTACAGTATATCTATTTCTCAATTGCTTCCGTGGCTATTGTTTGTTGGATTCCCATGAACTCTTATTAACAAAATGAATTTATAATCAGATATATTCCGCGGTTGTGACCTTAACAAGAGCGATTTGTACTCATGACATGCGCTGCGTCGATATTCTTGCGAAGTCACTTTCATTGAACTTTCCCCGGCATGAACTTTCTTCGGCAGTTAACACACGATTGCTGACATTTGAGATTATTATCCTAACATTTATACGCAAGAATTATCAGAAATATTAATTCGAATAAAATAACGTATTTTGTGGTAAGATAATCGTTACATTTTTCAGCAATTCTTGGGGTTCTAACTTCCAGAAAGAGAAGTTTCTAACTTCCAGAATTTTGCCTTTACGACTAATTTAATGTTTTCTCGAACTTCCAGTGTAGTATGCCTGTGAGATCAAAATTTGAAACAAAATTTGGTTTTAATTAAAAAATTAATATTTTTCAAAAAAGCCATTCGGTGAAACTCCCTAAAAAGGAGCGTTGATCAGTTCTGCGAACCCATCGGCCGAGTTAATTCTTTAGCAGAAAATTGCAAAATTCCCATTCAAGGTTTTTGCTAAAAAATCCTGAACTTATTTTGAAAACTTGAAAACTGTCAGAAAAAAATCAGGAAGAAATCGTT